AAGAGTGTTCTGTTTTCCAGCTGGATATAGCAGAAGGTTTATTGTAAGAGTAAATGGCGTATATGATTAGAATGAAACATTACACTTGAGATTCTGGAAAGAGGTAAAACTGGGTAACAGTAATTCATATGGAAACAAATGTACATTCTTTGTTTTTGTGTGTTTTCTCAGTATTTTTTAACCACTTTGTTAATTTCAGGCACAATTTATGATGTGGCAAGTTTTATCTTCAGATAACTGCTCATGGTTAGGAAAATTTTAGAAAGGTAGGTGTCGTAGTTTGACCCAGCAGCTGGTGGCTAAGCACTAGACAGCCAGTCGCTCACCCGTCCCCTTCTTCCCCCAGCAGGGTGGGGCGAAGAAATGGACAAAAGGGAAATCTCATGCATTGAGATAAAGACAGTTTAATAAAACAACAAAGGAAATACTAATACTAATAATAATACTGATAATAATGAATAAGGAAAACAAACTGTATACTATACAGTTTTCTCACCGCCTGACAACCAATTTTGCATCCAGTCCCCGAGCAGCAATTGTGGAACCTGGAAATTGTGGATTTCGTGAAATTCCAAAAAAAGACCGAACTCCAAGAAAAGTTCAAACTGCAAGACAAGAGAGGACTCAAACCCACAGAAACAAGAAAGAAAAATTCATGCCCCCCTGCCAACCTCCATTCCTAAACTGAGCATGCCATCTATGGTACGGAATATTTCCGCTGGCCAGCTTGGGCTGCCTGCCTGGCTGTATTCCCTCCCAGCTCCTGGACACCTGCTCGTTGGCTGAATACGGGAGACTGGAAATAAACCCTTGATTTCATAGCAACAACTGAAAACATCCAAGTTATCAACATTCATCTTGTACTGAATTCAAAACATAGCAGATACTGAGAGGAAAATTAACTCTATCCCAGCTGAAACCAGAACATTATCCACCCCTGATTCTGTACCGTCTATGTCATGCTCTGGTCCAACACTTTCTAATAAATCACCACCACTTTTCCTGTCTTTTGATATATACACACAGATATCATTCCCTTAGTCTATGGGCCATCCCTCCAAAATGTCCATTGAGTTAATTTAGTCCATGACTTTGGGTTCCATCTGTCATAGGAGTCTTTCAGGGTAGGAGAGGTGGTGCAAAGTCCACTCAGTCAGTAGAGCAGGACCAGGCTTCGGTGCCAAAACCAGCACAGTAGGTAAACGTAGGAGACTTGAGTGCACTAACGTGGGAAGTGGTGTACATGAACTTTGAAAATGGAAAAAAATACCAGTCATAAACAGAAAATCTGTAGAAACCAAGCCCCATGGTAGCAGCCCTGGCAGCACTGGCACATCAGAAGCAGCATGTCCTAGACAGGACCTGCTGTTCTTCAGTCAGATTAATTTGCTTATATTCCTAAAGTCTGATGTGTACTGAATATACTTATCATAGGTGTTAAGATCACAGACTTAATCTTGCATGTTACAGAAGCAGATACTATTAAGTATATTCTGCCCTGTTAGCAGCAGAGTTGGCGCAGTTTCTATGGTTTAGAGAGCTACTTCTCTGTTTTACTGACAACATTAGAAAAGTAGGATTCTGGAATAGCAAAGAGAAAAATGTAGCATTGCATATGGACAATTGCATTTGGTTTTTATTATTTGCATTTTTTCAAGGTGTCAAGTGGGTTTGGTACTCAATCTCAGTTGCTGCAAAACAGGCAAGGTCGTATGAAAAGATACGTGACGGCAGTGTTTTAGGATTAGATAGAGGCAGACTGGTAGTTCCTCTTTGATGCATAATGACAGAGCTCTGTACTGTTAAGTAGTACTTCACTTGAGGCCAGTCCAAAATCCACACCGAAATGAGAATGTTAGTTATGTTACAGTAAAGAGGAATACTGATTTTGGTATAGCAGCAAACTGAATTCTGTCTTTACACATTAGAAAAACTGCTGAACCGAAACAGGTTTCTTTTGGATGATCAGATCTCTCCTACAGGAAACTACTAAACTGAAAAGCAGAACACCATTTTTATAGTTGCTGTGGCAATATGTTGTTGCCCTCTGCAGCACAGCACAGCACAACAGACCAGTCTGGCTTCTAAAAGTAAGCTGGTTTAGGAGTATATAAATAATGCATTGGAATTACTACTAGATGAATCTTTCTGGATTGAAATCTGTTAAGCTATGGAATATTTCTGTATTTAGAATGATATTAACCACTGTGTGGATGTCTGTCTTTTGGGTTTCTTTATTCGAAAAATATCCCAGTTCCCTTTAGCTTAAGTATAAATGTGGCATGAACTAGTGCACTGAAACTATTTTTGTATGAATTTGTGAGCAGTACTGAATTTTAGAGACATATGCTGAGAAGTACAGTATGTGACCTGCCACAATGGGGACAGAATGTGATGAGGATCTCTTGGGATTAACTTGATCCACTGTTAGTAAGATATAATCTCACTTTTTAATGGAGTGCTGAGGTAGGAGGTGGTTGCTCAGCCAGAGTGCTGAGATGGGCTCCCAGTTGTTCTCTGCATGTTCCCTATATTGAGCTTCTTTGAAACCTGTCTCAGCCAATAGCAGTGGAAGATCTTACTGAATTTTATCTCTAGCAGCACGTTATATGAATTGTCTGTTTCATTTTATCTAAACCACTATTTCATCACCTTCAGCCACAAAGATACATTTTCCTCTTGCTTCCAAAACATTTTGTTCAGCATTTGGAATCTCAGCAAATACAGTGGTCTGGTTAGATGAAATTCAGAGTATCTGTTTGTCTGTTCTAAGTTTCTCTACCTAATTTTGTCCCTGTGCCGTTGGCAGCAGTTTGTCTCTTTTTGCCCTTCCATACGCTACAGGCTTTGGACCACTGCCTTTGCTTTTTTTAAGTCTCATGTGCATTTTCTCATCATCTTATCTTCAATTCTTATTTGCACTTTAAGACAAGTTGGGTTTTTTCTACTTGTCTTACATCAGTATTCTGTCATTTTTCGTACATGGGTGTGCATGTTTTGTGGGAACAGACTTGCTGTATTTTTGCGTGCAGTGTGCTTTTTATTATAATTTATTACAGGTAGAGTTCAATTGTTCAAATAGTTCTTCATGAAAAGCAATCAGAAAGTGTGATTTTGAGCACAGTGGAGAAAACCAATTCTTAAACATCAAAATGGATACTGTAAAAAATGTTTCTCAGTATTTTCCTAGCTGAATAGATGATGTACAGAATGTGCACTAAAATGGCACATTTTAGTGCCATGGGTATTGAAATCTCTGCAGCAAAACCCTTCAACTAGTAAACTATGGCCCAAATGTAGCTCACATGTCACCTTCTCTACTCATTTGTGCCCCAGATACTGGTTTGTAAGGGGTCCTTTGTCTGTGGAGAGGGAAGAGACCTGGCACAGATGGAGCTGACTGGAAGTTCAGTGACAAACTGTGAGTCTTGTGTCCAAAAGTGAGACTGCTTAGCCTAAGAGAGTAGAGGAAATACAGGGTTTTTTTCTTGAGCTGTCTCTTGGCATGCTCCTGCTGCGTTGGATAGGATTGCACCTGGAGATGAACAGAGAAGATCAAAAGGTAGTGGAGCTGGAGTGCAAATGCATGTACCTTTCTTGCTTCTATGGGGCTTTGTTTTGAAGCTGGATTATAAGGAAGAAAGGAGAGTGAGGTGAAGTGGAGCAGGCTCTCCAGAGGCTATGACTGTTACATGTAAATCATAGAATCATAGAATCATAGAAAGTTTTGGGTGGGAAGGGACCCCTAGAGGTCATCTAGTCCAACCCCCCCGCAGCGAGCAGGGACACCACTAACTAGATCAGGTAGTGCAAGAACAATGTACAGGAGCATCCTACCTAGTAATTGTACTTGGGTGACCTATGTGCTTGATAACATTGGATAACCAAAGTCTGAAGATGTATCCTGAGGTCAAACTTAGTCTTCAGTTGATTCTAGGAAAGACAGATTTTCACTCTCATGTTTGGCTCCTTACTTTGTGCTAAATGTAGCCTGAGTGGACATGGCAGTACATCATAAAGATAGTTACAATTAACTGCTCTCTACAAGTACTTTTAAAACTAATCTGAAACTATGGAAGTTATTATATTTTTATCATTTGATAGCAGAAAAAATGTCCAGCCATATTTTAGAGAACTTCAGTCAGTGGCATTTTAATTTTATCTCTGTA